TCTCTCTCTCTCTCTCTCTCTCTCTCTCTCTCTCTCTCTCTCTCTCTTTTTCTCTCTCTCCTTCTCCATACACACACACACACACACACACACACACACACACACACACGCAAAAACACACAGAGAAGGGGGTTATCTATGTAAAAGCAATAGACAGAAAAAAAGATAGGTGATATTTATATGACCCATTACAGTTTACAGCGTGCCTTTCCACACTTAACTGATTTAATCCTCCAAAATAAGCCTGTAAGGCCAGGAGGAATGTGTTATTAATACTACTTTTAATAGAAGAAGTGATTTGCCCAAGGTCACACAGCCAGTGAGTGGTTGAGTTGGGGCTTACACCCAGAAACAGTAAAGTCTCACTCCTTTGTCCTTTCTTACCCCAGTAGCCTGAGAGCATTCATGCAGCCCTAAATGCTCTACTCCATATTCCTCAGAGGCATCCTGTTGAAATAGAAAGAACAGAAGACTGGAGGGAGAAGGAGGTCAAGAAATAGATTCAGGTCCCAAGTTTTCTGCTGATTAAATGTGTGATCTTGGGCAAGTCCTCTCAAATTCAATAAAGATTTGTGAAGTAGATCTCATTAAATGTGCAGAGAGCTTTGGGAGGTGCTGGGAGAGATTCAAAGGACAGGTCATGCCTGCCCTCTTGAAGCTTGAAGTCTAGTGCAGGATTACAAAGTATGTACAATGATCACACCAAAAAATGTCACAAAGTTCGATGAGAGACCATAGTGGCAAAAGAGTATTTGAGCTTTCAGGAAGGAGAAGGTATGTGAGCTAGGGTTTCCAGGATAGATAGAACTTTAGTATGCAAAGACGGGTGGAAAGGAAGTTTTCGAAATGGGAAAAAAGAATGAGCAAATATTTATAGATATGAAAGTATGGTATATCTACTGGATACTGTGAATGGTTTGGTAGGCATGGTGTGTGTGTGTGTGTGTGTGTGTGTGTGTGTATGTGTGTGTGTGTTGGTGTGTTATTAGTGCAAAACAAAGCAGGGAAGGTAGGTAGGTGACATGTTGTAGATGGCCTTGAAGGTGTTTGGATTTTATTAGGTAGGCAATGGAGAATTCTCAAAGGGTTTTGTACAGAACCTTTCCAGCTTGATGGATTTCCATCTGTTGAGACTGCTTTATAGAACACATCTGTTTCTAATGGATTTCATATACATTGTTTTATTTATCTAGAATCACTTTTGAGGTGGAAAATAACTTCAGGGGTCATTTAACTTAACCCAATCATTTTATGGGGCTGCCTACACTGTTAATCCAAGGAGAAAAGAAGGTTAAAAAAACTCTCAGAGACCTCATTCACCATAGTCCCCTTTGTTCCCCCATAAAACATAAGACTGTAAGTCTCCATTGAAGCTGTGGTGAAAAGAATTGTTTTTTTTCTTCAGTAAAGAAGAATTCAGGGGCCTACAAGTGAGCCCGAAGAGTGATCTTTACTTTTGCCCCAATAATTCTTCCCTTAAGTCCTACTCCAATGCCCTATGATGGTACAATGGTAATGCTGAGTTCTCTGAGGTTGTACTGTGTGGCAGGGGACCACAAGCCCTGGATGATGCCACCAAACTGGCCTGACTTTGCCACAGATTTTACGTTGGTCATCTGGGAACAAGCCTGGCTGAGTTGAGAGGGCTGGCTGCAGAGGGATTAATATTTTGGACATCGAAGCTCCTGTGGGCTGCCTACCAATTAATGGAGGGGCTGTGATCTGCATTTCTAGAGGAACTGCCTACAACAGAGGAAATTGTAGATCCTTTAAGTACATAATCTGAGAGAACATCCTATCTTTGATGTTTCCTAGATATGTGACCTTGGACTAGTAATTCAACCTCTCTGAGCTAGTTTCCTCCTCAGTAGAAGGAAGGGTTGGGCTAGATTACTTCTGAGATTCTTTCTAACTCTAGAACTGTTTTCCGGTGTGATGCAATGAATAGGTCTTGAACAATTGCTGCATACAATGCTTCATCCTGGTTACTCTCAGAGATAAAAAGAATATCCCTGTTCTTACGGAGCTTATAGTTTGAAGACAAATTAGACACCAATATCTGTTATCTAAGGTGGAAAGGTAAAGTGTTAGAGCCTTTCAGAGGAGGTAGAGATCATTTCTGTCATCTCTACACAGGGCTTTTTAATCTTTTTTGTGCCCTGGATCCATTTGGTAGTCTGGTGAAGCCTGTGGACCCTTCCTCAAAATAAGGTCTGTTGCCTACCTTCATCATTGAGAGAGATGCTATGTTTCAGTTAGAGGTTCACTTTTACCTCCCATCCGAGTTTATTGGGTTCCTTGGAGGTACATGGGCCCCAGGTTAAGAATCCCTGGTATTGAGAGATCATAGAAGGCTTTACAGAGGAGGTAGCCTTTGATTTGTGCCTTTTAGGATAGTTAGGCTTTCTAGTTGCAGAGATGAGAAGAGCATTTTAAGCACTGGGAAAAAAGGGAGAGTGAAGGCATGGAAGCAGTAACAGACACTGACTTGTCCACTAGGTAAGAGAGACATGTGGCATTATTTATAAAGTGATGTAATAACCATGAGAAGCAGCATGAGGTAGTGGATGGAGTAAGGAAGAGCTGGGTTCAAGTCCTGTCTTTCACAATGTTAGTTGTGTGAACGTGGGCAAGTCACTCATCCTCTGAGAACCCTGGGCAAATTGTTTAGACTTGAAGTTAAAGGTAGTTGCTGAAGTGCATCGATTCACACTGGAAGCTTTTCTCCATGTCTATGAAATGATAGCTCTGGATCTCCATCTGCACTTGTCCCTCTTTCTTCTCCTCCCCACACCCCAAAGTTACCATGAAACCTAAGGGAGCATGTATGCCTGTAATGATTATCACTTTATTAGAGTTTCGATAATTCCACCTATGGTTATTAAGTGCTTTGTACTAGGTCTTGTGCTAGTCATTGGAAGAGGAGGAAGGAGGAGCTGAGCAATGCAAACATGACATGATTGTTGTCTTCAAGGAGTTTATAGTCTAATGGTAAAGGGGGAGTAGGGCAAATGCCCAAATAAATATGATACCACACAGAAGATGGTAGGTGAGGAGAACTCCACCCTCTTTACTGAAGAGCTTCACTGGCTTATGGCTGCAGACCTGTGTTGATCAATCTAATAGCTAAGCAAATTTCTCACCAGGGGCAGTTTCTGGGTCTACATCTTCCAGAGCTCCACTCGAGTTATTTAGATTGCTTGGATGAATCTATGATCTCAGCTAAATGGCACAGTGCATAAAGCTCTGGAGTCAAGAAGACCTGAGTTCAAATTCAATCTCACTAGCTGTGTGACCCTGGACAAATTACTTAACCCCTGTCTGCCTATTTCTGCAGCTGTAAAATTGGGATAATACCAGCCCCAGGGCTGTTGTGAGGATAAAATCAGATAATATTTGTAAAGCAAGTTTTAAAGTGCAATGTAAATAGTAATTAAATTATTATCTGCTATACCATGCTGCCTGGTATAATGCTACAGATATTATCATCCTCATTTTATAGTTAGGAAAACTACTCAGACAGGTTAACTGATGTGTGCATTGTCACATAGTAAGGGTTCAAATCAGGTTTTGGGCATAGGTCTTCCTGTTTCCAAATCCAGAGCTTTCCTTCCTCATAATGTCTCTCCAGGGACTTTTATGTTACCCCTCCCGCATGAGTCATTGTTTGCCATGTGTTACAGCCTACGTGTGTACCCTGTATGTCTTTCCATTTTCTTCGGGTAACCCATGAACAGAATTCTTTCAAAGTTGTTATGTTCTATGATTTTCAGACCTATAGCATCACTGAGAGAACATTTAATATTAAAAAGATGGATTTTTGTGTCAGCCAATAGCTTGGAATCACTGAAGCACTGTAATTTCCCAAATGAGATCCAGCCTTTCATCCTCTCCCTTTTTCCTCCCCCCCCCAGTTCTAAGCTGAGCTCATTATCCATCCCCAAAGCCTGTCCAAGATATATGTTCAAGGGGCTATCTTTGCAATTGCTGTAATCTGGGCAATACACATCTTTCTTCCACTTCACCCATATTAATACTTAAGAATATCAATCATTTATCTCCTGTTCCTCCTAGGTCCTCAGTGTCCACTGCCCTTTAGAGCCTCTGGTGTAGTCCATGGAGTAGTTCTTTGTGAGAAGGGGACAAACCAAGGACAGGCTGTTCAACAATGCCAGATTATGTGTCGCCAGGGCTATCACATAGCTTTGCCTCAGGGTCCATTTATATGCAATGTAGAGAATCAGCGCTGGATTTCAGAGCCTCCTCTGCCCCAAGCTTGTCAGAGTAAGTAGATGTGGAATTGATCTCTCTTTATAACTCACTTAATCATGTGGTGTTTCCATAGGTGCTATATGGTTTTCATGAATGTAACATGTTTGGGTATGTATTTAATTTGAAAGCAATGTAGATTTTTTTTAGTATTCAAAAAAAATGCCAGAGCTACAAAGTAGAGGGCTCTAATTGAATGCCTTATTCCAGATAAGCTCCAGATGTTCCACTGGGTGGAATGGGAGTATTTATTTGTAGAATCAAGTGTAGGTATAGAGTGTGAGGGTTGCTGAACCTTTTTCAGGACTGCTTTTTATGTGTAGGATCCACTTGATTCACCCAACTCTCACCAGTAGCTCCAAGAAGCTGTAGCATGTGTAGCAGCCACACCCCAGTAAACCATTTAGGCAGATGGTCTAACCCAGATTGAGAGTAACCAAGAAGTCTCAAACCCCTCAGTGAGTTAGGGAGGTGTCTACCCCAAGCAAATGAAGATTTCCCCCAGTGGAATGGGTGGATGAGAACAATTTGTTACAACCACCATGAAGGCAGTTTAAGCAGGTACTATGGAGCATTTAGAGTTTCATTAGACATCAAAGATGCCAAGGTCATCCACTGCATCCTAAGCCTTCACCAATAATCTTGACTTTTGTCTTGCCACTTGCACTTTGATGATTCTGGAAGAGAAAGTGAGGTTGATGACTTCATACAACTCTGCCTCACTTCAATCCAATTTATGCACAAATCAGAAGATATCACCTATACCATTTTACCACTTTTACTTACCTTAAAGTCCTATGGTGACAGGCAAGTGATGAAGCAGCAGGTGTGGTTACACCTGTAATTACAAGGTAGTAGTAGAAGCTGTAATCACAACCCTGCACACAGGGGATTCAGGCCATAGAGTCACCTTCTCACTGGACTGAAGCAGCATTGGAATTTGGCAGCCCCCTGGGCATCTCAGCAGCCTTTTTGAAACACACTGCTTACCTACTAGTGTGAGGTGAAAAGGTGCCCTAAAATTGTCTGCTTTATCCAATCCTGGCCTGCTTACTGTAGCAGGCAAGGATCCCACCCTGCAGTCAAAACACAAAAAAATGTATAAGAACTTTTGCAAAGATGATTCCACTCACCATCAGTACCTGAAATGTGTTCATGCTTATGAATACCATGAAATCCGGTAGACCTGAAAGACAGACAGGTCTGATCACAAGAAACTCAGTAGGTACCACATTCAAATAGCAGCCCTGAGTGAAACAAGGCTGACAAATGGAAGCCAGCTTACCAAAGTTGGAGCTGGATACACATTTTCTTCTGGAGTGGCCACAATGATGGCCACTAGAATAGGTTTTGCAATCAAAACTAATCTGGTCAATGAACTTGTACATCTACCAAAAGGAATGCACAACAGGCTCATGACAACATGATTGCCACTTGTAGAAAAGTACCACTCCACCACCAAACCCTGATGAGTCCAAAGAACAATTTTATGAAGACCTGGAGACCCTCATCATCAATGTGCTGAAAGAGGATAAGCTTATAATTCTGGGTGATTTTAAGACCAGAGTAGGAAAGATTACCAGACACAGTAAGGACTCCTTGGGAAGAATGGAGTGAAAACCAGCAGCAGCAATAGTCATTTACTACTGAACTCTTGTACATCTCATGATCTTCTCATCACTGTCTTCCTTTTACCTAAATACAATAAAACTTCATGTATGTACCCTCACAGGAAATATTGACATTTAGTAGACTATGTCATTGCAAGAAGAAGAAATAGGATGTGAGAATGATGAAGGCAATGTGTGGTGCAGAGTGCTGGACTGAACATAGGCTTATCCTCTCCAAGCTAAATATTCACATTCAACAAAAGTGGTAGCCCCAAGGCAAGATGACTACCAGAAGACTTAATGCCTACAGATTAGAATGCTTCTCCAGGTGGAACAATTTATTGCTAACTTAGAGGGAAAGCTGAGCTGACACATGGTTCGCAACCATGGAGCAGAAAAGGAGTGGGCCACTTTCAGAGATTTGGTGCACAGCTCTGCATTTACTCATGTGGGCTAGACCACCAACATCAATATTGGTTTGACAAAAATGATGGGAAAATTGAGAAGCTGCTCAACCGAAAAACAAGAACTCCACAGGGTTTACCAGCAGGATAGTTCATCTATCTCTAAGAAAGCAACACTTAACTCCATCAAAAGTACAAAGCTTAGAGAGATGCAGGATTCTTGGTTCAGTAAGAAAGCAGATGAAATTTAGTTTTATGATGATAGTAACAATCCAAAGTGCTTCTATGATACTCTAAAGGCTATTTATGGGTCAAAGACCTAAGGTGCATCTCAACTATTCAGTGCTGAGCCACATTGATTAGTGATAAGGACATGATCACAGAGAGATGGGCTGAGCACTTCCATGGTGTTCTTGACAGACCATCATCAATCAAAGCTGAAGCCAGTGACTGTTTATCTCAGGTTGAAGTCAAACCCTCCCCAGCTGAAGTTGCAACTGAAGAAGAGGTTTTGAATGCCATTAGGCTCCTCTTCTGTGGCAAAGCACTTGGTGCTGTTTCTATTCCAGCTGAAATTTAAAAGGCAAGAGGGTTCACTGCTCATACAGAAGCTGACTGAAATCTTCAGGATTATATGGCAAGAGGAGGTTAACCCTCAGGAGTTCAAGGATGCCCTCATTGCCTATCTCTATAAAGAAAAGGGAATTAGATTGTGACAATCACATCTCTCTCTTAGTCATTGCCAACAAGCTTCTTGCCAGAGTCCTCCTTAATGGGCTGATCCTTCACCTGGAGGAGGGTTATCTTCCTGAGAGCCAATGTGGCTTCAGCAAGGGCTAAGAAATAGTTGGTATGGTGTTTACTGCCCAACAACTCCTGGAGAAATGCCAGGAGCAGAACAGAGGTCTGTACAAAACATCTGTTGATCTGACTAATTGTCAGTCGTGAGGGCTTATGGAAAATTATGACAAAATCTGAGTGCCTCAAGAAGTTCATCAGTATTGAATGTCAGTTTCATGGCAGCATGCTTGCATGGGTTCTGGATAATGGATAATGCTCTCACATTTTCCAAGTCATCAATGGAGTGAAACAGTGCTGTGTGTTTGCTCCCATACTTTTTAGCATGCTGTTTTTAGCAATGTTATCAGATGGCTTCAACAAGGACAAAAATGGCGTCAAAGTCAGCTACCACACTGACAGTAAATTATTTAACTTGAAAAGTCTGTAAGCCAAAACTAAAGTGGAAGGAGAGTTGGTGCATGATTTTTTGTTCACAGATGATGTGAACTCAGTGCAGCCTCTGAGGCCAAGATGGATCAATTCTCTGCTGCTTGTGCTAATTTTGTCCTAACAATACCAAGAAAACACATGTTCTCCACCGACCAGCAAGCAACACACCAAACATACGTGGAACCATTGGTTAAAGTATATGGAGAAGTATTAAATGCTGTGGATAAGCCCACTTTCCTTGGGAGTATAGTTTCCAGGGATGTACACATGGATGATGAAGTTGATGCACGCATTGCCAGTGAGCTCAGTGTTTGGGAGGCTCCAAAAGAAGGTGTGGGAAGAAAGAGGTATTAGATTGCATACCAAAATGGAGGTCTACATAGCCATTGTGTTGACCTCATCGTTGTATGCTTGTGAGACCTGGATAGTACACCAGCACCATGCCAGGAAACCAAATCAATCAAATCGCTTCCATTTGAATTGTCTTAGGAAGATTCTGAAGATCACCTGGCAGGATAAGATGGAGGTCAGAAGAAGTGATATAAGGACGTTCCCATGGTCTCTTTGAAGAACTCTGGAATTGGTTGCATGATATGGGAGGCACAGGACTGCCCAGCATGGTGTGCCTGCATCAAAGAAGGTGCTGTGCTCTGTGAGTGAAACAGAATTGCAATAGCTCAAAAGAAATGTGAGATGTGCAAATTGAGAGACATTTCCACTCCAAATGTTCCTGTGGACTATTTGTGCCTGCCTTGTGGTAGAGCCTTCTGAGCTCATCTTTGTTTGATCAGCAGCAGTTGAACACACTGTACCTTGACTCCAAAATAGTGATGTCATTTTGGTCCTCTGAGAAGGGAGGGCAACAACCAACCATATGGTTTTTATGAACGTAACATGTTTGGGTATGTATTTAATTTGAAAACTCAACATAGACTTTTTTGGGTAATCAAAGAAATGCCCAAGCTACAAACTAGAGGGCTCTAGTGGAATGCCTTGTTCCAGATGAGCTCCAGATGTTCCATAGGGTGGATTGGGAGTGTTTAGTTGCAGGATCAAGTCATTTTGTTACTTCTGCAGCAATCCATACCTCCAGAGAATTGGCATCTTTGAGGGCCACCTCATGACCGCTCAGGATTTCTCATTTGGAACTCCTTTCTGCTGCCTACACATGTGCACCCACAGGCACTCACAGGTATAGGATGGCCAGGAACAATCTGTATCCTGCTTCTCTACCTGAAGATGTGAAGAGTGCCTTTTCCCAGACCTTGTGAAGATACCTCTTCATTCTGATAGTTGTCTCATCTGTTCCCCTTCAGTAGCATCACAGTCTCAGTGGTAATGCTGTCATGTGCAAGAGAGATTAGCCTGGTTCTATTTAACCTCAGAGGGCAGAGGTAACCAAAACGAAAGACAAAGAAAGCAACTTAGGCTCCATGTTAGCGGAAACATCCTAATGATTAGAGTTGTCCCAAAATGGAATGGTCTCCCTTGGGAAGTGGTAGGTTCTCCCTCATTGGAGCTCTTCAGGTAAAGTCTAGGGGCAATTTGTTGAGGATGCTGTGAGGGATTCCTTTTAGGGGATCTGGGGGCGTTGGACTAGATGGCCTCTGAGGTTTCTTTTAACCCTGAAATTCTGGGGTTCTGAGATTGGCTGGATTGGCTGACCATATTTGTACTTCTTGTATGCTCCTACATTCTCTTTTGTTCTTTTATTGTTTTTGTACAAGTCTCATCTTCTCCATCAGATTATAACCTCCTTGGGGGCAGGGACCATTATTCTTCTTAGTATCTCACCTAAGGGAGGGGCTCCAGTGAGTTGAACTGATTTATGGGAACATATTGATAAGAATCAGGCAGGATGAGAATCTCAGAAATCATGGACCTGAAAAAGTAACAATTCTTTGGACAGCATCCCTGAGAATTGGTCAAGCAGCCTGTACTTGGAGACCTCCAGCAATGGAAATTCAGTGCCTTTGAAGTGAGCCCACTTCACCATTGGGCAGCTCTCATTGTTAGGAAGTTTTTCCTTATAGCCCTCTTAAGTCTATTTTCTTATTTAGTATTTTATTTTTCCCCAGTTACATGTAAAAACAATTTTCAACATTCATTTTTAAAACTTTGAGTTCCAAATTCTCTCCCTCCCTCCCTTTCCCTCACCCAATTGAGAAGACAAGCAATTCGATATAGGTTATACATGTGTAGTCATGCAAAACACCTCCATAATAGTAATGTTGTGAAAGAAAACAGTTAAGTCTATTTCTTATAAATCCCACCCATGGCTACTAATTTTTCTTTCTGGGACCAAGCACAACAGCTCTAATCTCTCTTCCTCAGACCCCCATTTAAATACTTGAAAACTGCTATCTAGTCCTCCCAAAGTCTTCTCTCTGGACAAAGCATCTCTATGTCCTTAGAATGATGCCTGTGTGGGAATTCTTTCTACCAAGCAGGTTGTAGTCCTTCCAGGTCTTTTCATTCTGTGCTATTCTTATCCTTCTCTTAGTTTCCAAGGTAACTGAAGGAAAGTTCTTTCTATAGAGCAAAACTGTCGAGTGACAATACTGATGGCTTCTTAATTCTGATGTGCTTACAGAGCTCCAGTTGTTGCAGACTGTGCAAACCCAAGTACAGTTCCATCTTCAGCTTCCCCCAGGGAAGATGTGCAGTGCTGACTACTCTGGCTTACTCCAGGCTTTCCAGAGTTTCATCCTGGATGAGTTAAAGGCCCGTGGCTTCTGTCAGATTCAGGTATTTCCCATGCCTGATCTAGAATGAGAACATGGTGTAGGGCAAGATTTTCAGTCGGTGATATGGACCCTTCAGGCAAAGAGTGTTCCACCATTAACATTGGAGGGCCAGTATTTTTTAAAGTGGAAACTTTGAAAAATTTCCATGATTTGAGGTAAATGGTGATTACCGAGAGGGGATTTTTGAAGGCATTGAGGGAGGAAAAACAAACCGCTTCATCTAATTAAGAGGTAGTCTGGATACTGGAAACAGTGCTGGTCTAGTAGTTAGGAGACATGGCTTCACATACCACCCTCAACACTTACTAGACATATAACCCAGACAATTCACTTCTCTGAGACTTTAGTTTCTTCATCTGTAAAATGGGAATCATCATAATACATTCACTACCAAACTCACAGGGTTATTGTGAAGCAAACACTTTGCAATTTTAAAGTGCCATAAAACTGGGAGCATTTTATTTTTATAAATGGACATTATTATAAAAGGGCTATAAATCGTCAGAGTAATTAAGACATTTTGGGTCTCATCGCAGGACTACAACAATACTGGAACATCACAGGCATTGCCCCATTTGCTAATGCCCAGGACACAACTAAAAAATCTTGTTTTGTCCCTGGTGATAGATAGATAGATAGATATAGATACAGATATGTATATGGACATATATATATACACAAACACATATGTGTATGTACCCACATGTATGTGCATATATATATACATACAATATATGTATATGTATATATGTATGTACACTGTATATATATATGTATGTGTGTGAATATATGTATATTTAAGTTCTCTATACACATATAACTAACAAACTAATTAAACTATATATATCACATAATTATATGCACACACTAACAGGGTATATACCCTGTTAGTGTGTGCATATAATTATATGTTATATTATATGTGTGTTTGTACATATTTATTTATATGTGTGTATATTTGTATGTGTATATGCACATAGGTGTATGCATCTATACATACGTGCATGTGCATGTAGCTATCTATCTATCTACACCCAATTACTCTTTCTTCAGGTCCTGTTAAAGGTGTACTTCCTACAGAAGACCTTGCCATCATAACCTACATTCTCAGCTCAGTCTTGCCCCCTACTGGTCATGGGGCAGAAGGGGTACTGTCGGACAAAAGCCCTCTTGGTTAGCAGAGTTCGTGGCTAAATTTGTATCACAAACTGGTTTCCTCTGTGACTTGATAAAACCTTGTCCTGCCCATAAACAAAGACAACAACATATGTATGAATGCATGTATGTTCATATAACAAATATAGCTGTATACACAGATACATGTATATGTGTCTATATCTAGAGATTGACATACATCATATAGGTGCTATATAACTAATAGCGCTGATGATACTATTGATGAATATCGTATATACACATACATACATACACATATGTGTGTATGTACATCTGTGATAGAAACCTATGGTTTCGTTTGTTGAGAATCTTCCAGGTATGGATCGCTGTGAAGCTGAGTGATCACATCATACGTGTCAGTGACAAGTTGTGAGTTCAGGTTTTCCTGACTACAATTTCCACCCTCTATCCACTATGCTATATTGCCTTTCAAAGATTCATATATTATGACCAATAACAGTAATTATATAGAATTTATATAAGATTTTAAATTTTGCTGAAGCACTTTCTATCCATTTAATCCTTACAACAGCGCTACGAAGTAGATGTCATCATTATCCTCATTTTATAGCCCATGAAACTGAGTTTGAGAGAGGCTGACTTGCCTCAGATGACCCAGCTAGTAAACAGCTGAGGAGGTGTTTGAACCTAAATCTTCCTGACTGCCAAGCAAGTACTCTACCCATTTCTGGGCTGCCTCTACATAGTGTACTGCTAATAACCCTAGCACTAATACTGTTATTCACACTAATATAGAAACCGAAAGGTTTGTGAAACGCCTACCTCCCCGCAAACATGTGAGGTAGGTCAAATGCGGTCAGCACATCAGGACCAGGCAGTAGAACAAAACGAACACGTTGTCTTGGTCCTCTGGTCCCAAGCAGGGCAGTTACAAGAGTCATAGAGACACAGAACTCAGCAACGCCAGACAGGAGTGAGGAAAAGAGTGAGAAACATCTGGTCAGGCCCTAATTAAGGTCTTTCATTATCTACTGTCTCTGTTGTCTGCTTGTCCTCCAGGGTCTACATGCTCTAATAATTTCCCACATCATTTGTTTTCTTGCTTAAAGTTTGCATGTGTTGAATTGTAGCTGAATTATTGCTCTGTAGTGGGAGATACTCTCTATCTCTGTCTCTGTCTCTCTCTCAGGAATCTAGGGCTGAGTTCCACTGCCCCAGTTAAATGTTTTTTTGTTAAATTGTCTCACTGCTGTACTTGGTGCATTATCTAGTGGTCCCTACACTGCACTCAACTACCCCCTAATAACCAAGGAAGGCCGAATAATAATCATGCTTCATGCATGCGTTCTTCATTCATTCATTCATGCATTCATCTATCCAACTCAACAAGCTTCTATGAATCACCTAACAGGCACTGCTCTAGGCAATTTCAATCAACATTAAGTCCCCAATGTATAATTACTAAAGACTATGATTCTGTGGCTAGAAGGTCTGGTTTGGAGTCAAGAAGACCTGGGTTCAGGTCCTTCCTCTGGCACCTGTTATCTATATGGCCATGGACAAATCAGTTAATTTCTCAGTGGCCCAAACAGATCTCCAGGATTATATGTTACAGATGAGTCAATGATGTGTTTTGCTGGAAGATGTTTCCACAAGGGGAGTTTTCCTATACCTGTGAAATCATTGGCCTGCACTGTCTCTCCCTTATCTCTTCCCATCTCAAGTACAAAGTACTGTGCTTGTTCCTGAGGGTGATACGAAAGCACAAGATGTTCTACAAGTCTTAGTTGAGTTTTAAGCTGTTCAGGCTGTAAATAGGACATGCCCTCCATCCTCAAAAAGTAGCTATATGGGAGAGCAGATAGAGCACCTGGTTAGGAGTCAGGAAGACTCATCTTCCTACGTTCAAATCCTGCCTCAGACGCTTACTAGTTTTATGACCCCGGGCAAGTCATTTACCTTAGTTTCCTTATCTAGAAAATGATCTGGAGAAGGAAGTGGCAAACCACTTCAATATCTTTGCCAAGAAAACCCCAAAAAGGGTCACGAAGAGTCAGACGCAACTGAAAAATGACCGAATAACAACAACAACTTAACCTCAAAGAGCTTATAGTCTAATTGAAGATGATAAAATGTAAGGAGAGATAAATATAATACAAAGAAGAATCTAAATTCCATATGAAAAGTAGAATAGCATTGTGGAATAGTGGGTAGAGAGCTGACCTTGTGGGTTCAGGTCCTGCCTCTAACATAACCTGACTGTGTGATCCTAGAAATGTCACTTAATGTCTTAGGGCCCCAGGCATTGCACCAATGAAATCTCAGATCCAATTTTAAACCTCATGAAGTTCAAGCTCTCCTCACATGATACTAAGGTAATTGCAATAATTTCCTAAATCATTTCTCTGCCTCAAATGCCTCCCCTCCCCAGTCTGCTCTCTGCACAGGTGTCAAAGTGATTTTCCTAAACCACAGGTCAGGCCCCATCACCACCCCCTATTCAAGAAACTCGCATGGTTCCCTGTTACCTCTAGGATCAAATATAGACCTCTATGTTTAGCATTTAAGCCCTTCACAACCTGAGCATGTCATGGCTTTTCAGCCTTCCTACATTCTTGTTTCCCCTTTGCATACCCTGTGGTCCAGCGATACTGGCCTACTTGCTATATTGCACATGCATAATTCTCCATTTCCCACCTCCATGCTTTTGCACTAGCTATTCCCAATGACTGGGATGCTATTCTTTCCAAACTCTGACTGGGAATCCCTAGCTTCTTTTAAGACTCATTTCTTCTTGAAGTTCTTTCCTAGTGTTAGTGCCCCTCCTTCTAAGGTTTATTGTTCACTCATTTCAGTTTTATCCAACTCTGCGTGACCTCGTTTGGGGCTTTCTTGGCAGAGATACTGGAGTGGTTTGCATTTCCTTCTCCAGTTAATTTTATAGAAGAGGAAACTGAGGCAAACAGAGTTAAATGACTTACTCAGGGTCACACAACTAGTAAATGTCTAAGGTCAGATTTGAACTTAGTTCTGCCTGACTCCTGGCGTGGAGCTCTATCCACTGTGCCACCTAGCTGCCCATTCCTTCTAGGTTACCTTCTATCTACTCTGTTTTTATATTTTGTTGTAGTTGTTGTTTAGTCCTTTCTGTCATGTCCAACCCTTTGTGACCCCATTTGGGGTTTTCTTGGCAACCATACTAGAGTGGTTTGCCATTTCCTTCTCCAGCTCATTTAACAGAAGAAGAAACTGAGGCAAATAGGGTTAAGTGACTTGCCCAGGGTCACATAGCTAGTAAATGTCTGAGGCCAGATTTGAACTCAGGAAGATGAGTCTTCCTGACTCTAGGCCATACATACTGACATAGATAAATCTATCTATAGATGGACAGAGAGACGGATAGACAGACAGATACTTAGCTAGACAGCTAGATATAATGTAAGCTCCCTAAGGACAAGAAATGTTTTCTTTCTTTTTCTCTTCTTCCTCTTCCTTTTCTTCCTCCTCTTCCTCTTCTTCCTCCTCATTTTCCTCCTCTTATTCTTCCTCCTCCTTCTCCTTCTCCTCCTCCTTTTTCTCCCTAGTCCTTAGCACAAGGTCTGCCACACCATAAGCACTTAATAAATACTTGTCAATTGTTTGAGGTTGGTTGAGGGAGACCTTGCCTGTAGCTAAGCAGATAATGGAAGGCTTCATGAACTGAGTGACATTTGAGCTGAAATTTGAATATCAGTGAGAATAGCATAATTTTAATATGGGGATATAGGAGTAAAGAATGATGTAGCAGAGGTACACAGGCAAGAAAGCAGAGTATGTGTATGGTCTATGAACAGTCCTACAGTCTACAACAGATTGTAGAGTATATAGGGGAGGACAATGGGAAATCAACTGGACATACAGATTGGAGCCCAATTGTGGATTGGGTTCTTAAATGCTGGTTTAATGGGTTTAGATTTTATTCAGTAAAAAATATCACTACTTATTATCTATATTTACATAGCTCTTCAAGATTTGCAAAAGGCTTTCCTTGCAAAAAGCCTCTTGCAAGTATTATTCTCCCCATTTTTTTGCACACTAAGAAACTGAGGCTCTGAAAACTACGATGACTTGCCTATGATCACATAACTAGTAAGTGTCCAAAGTGGGATCCAAATTAAAGTCTCCTGACTCTAAGGTTTCTTCAATATAGTCATTGAAGAATTTGGAGCACAGGGGCAATACATATGACCTATGTATTGATAATATTTAACAATAGTCATTTTTTAAGTGCCAACTGTATGCATACCCCATTATAGGCACTAAAACAGGAATTCTTATCCTTTTTAGCCTTTTCTGTCATAGACTCCTCTGATAGTCTGATAAAAATCTATGAACTTTTCAGAATAATGTTTTGTCACCCATATTAATAATCGAATGAAATGCAAGTGAAAATATGTAATTTTTCCCATCCAAATTTACAGACTTCCTGAAATCCATCCATGGACTCCTTGATATGGGGTTGGGGGGAGTCTAGAATCCCAGGTTGAGAACCCTTCCTTTAGGGTAAATGCAAAATTTAGAAAAAGTATAGGTCACTGTCCTCATGGAACTTCCAGTTTAGTAGAGGGATATTGTAAATGCCCATTTAATAATCAGTCATTCATTATATTACTATCACTGCCATGACTACTACTACCAGTTTGTATTGATGTATTTCTTCAAGGTTTTCAGGTTGTTTTATGCTCCTTATCTTATTTGATCCTCACAATAGCCCTGGGGAATAGATAGTATTATGATGCCCCAGGTAAACAAGATGAACTTGAAGCTCAATGATTCAATGACTCTCCCATGGTTACATGACTGTAGTGCAAGGTTTTTGGTGCTGGGTCCAGTGCGATTTCTGTTAATCATGGTGGTGCCTCTCCTAAAAATGCCTATGCCATGTGCTTGTGCTTGTGAATGCTACATTTTACATGAATCTCTTGACTGAGTTGTTGAGAAAAACCTCTGAATAATCAGGAATCAAATGCTAAACACTTCGTGAGCTCTGACTAATGTGTATAAGAACATATTGAAAAGCATAGTTTTTGTCCTAGACCCATCACGTATTTCCTTAAGATGCTAGTTGTAATACTTTAATTCCCTTTTCTCCAGTTTTTTCATGTATGTGGATAACAACTGGCTAAGAATTGCCCACGTTGTGTGGAAAGGAGATTCCCAGGAGTCTGTGAGTTTAGCAGTAGAGATTTAGAAGCTAATGACAAGAGAATAGATTATGTGGTCATGGTGGAGCAGAATGGTGGTAAAAATCATTGCTCGAAAATCTCCAATGGTTCTCCATTGCCTACAGAATAAAGTATAAATTCTTAAGATTAACATTCAAGGCTCTCCATGATCTGGCCCCAGACTTCCTTTCTAGTTTCATCTCCTATTAACTTCCTTTCATTCATTTTATGATCCAGATAAATTGGATTATTTTCTGATCCCTAAACATGAGTTTTCTTGTGCCCATGCCTTAGCTTCCTATTGCTAAATGCCTCATAGTCACTGGGGGATGAAGATAAGAGGCTTTCTAATGTCTTTAAAATTATGTGATATAGGAGTCAGAAGACCTGGTTTCTACTATGCTACATTATACTCCATACTATTGATTTAGTCTTCTCTCTTAAGGCAAATTATTACAGTGGAAAGAACACTGATTCTAGAGTCAGATGGTCTGGTTTCAAATGCTACCTCTAACACCTGCCATCTTGTGACTTTGGACAAGTCACTTAACCTCCCTCTTTGGGCTTCAGTTTCCTCACCTGTAAAACAAGGGGCTTGGATTAGATGGCCTCTAAGTCCTTTCTACCTCACATAAATAAATCCATTTTATAGTTGGTCGGTGGAAAAGAACAAAGAAGTTGCAAGCTTCTTCTATTATCTAGAGAGATATATTTCCCATTTCTCATTACACATATGGGACATAATTTGGCATCATCATAGAATCTTTTAGAGTCATATGTTTACATATTAATAGGAGTAGATGAAATGAGTTGAAACTGCAGTAGTCATGACTACAGTTCTGAAAAAGACAGAAGTCACCCTCTTAACTGGAAGGTCTTTGTCTTGGTGTAGGTGAACACTTTTGGGAGTACTGCCTATTTTCCTGTCTGCGATGATTCTACGGTGCAGGTAGAGTGCCTGACTGTGGAACGCCTGGGAGTGAATGTTACATGGAGGTCCCAGCTAGAGGACATCTCGGCAACCTCTCTTCCTGACTTCCATGATATCGGTATGCTGTCTTCGTGCTCTAGTGGGTTTAAGTGACACCATATCTTTCAAAATGAGCTAGGTTTAGATTTTTTGTTTGTTTTAAGGTACAATGGACAGAGTATAGACCTTAGGAGAAGGAATACTCTCAGTGGCTAAAGTGCTGGATGAGTCAAGAACACCTGAGTTCAAATCCAACCTTAGACACTTAGTAGCTGTGTACCCCTGGGCAAGTCATTTAACCTTTGTCTGCCCCGGTTTCCTCAAATGTAAAATGGAGATAATAAAAGCAGCTAACTCCCAGGGTTGTTGTGAGGCTCAAAAGGATATTATTTGTAAAGTGCTTTGCAGACCCTAAAGTGCTATATAAATGCCAGCCATCATCATCATTATTATTATTATTAGTTCAAGTTCTGATTCTGACAGATACTGACTGTGTGACTATGGGCCTGTCCCTTAAGCTCTCAGTGCCCCAGGAACTCTAAGATAAAAATTATAGATGTCATCCTGCAGTGATAGAAAGAGTTTTCTTTCTAGGACTTCCTATATCATTAAAATCACATCTGGTTCAAAACCAAAAAAAACTCAAATAAAAAATGAATGTGTATGGGGAGGACAGGAAGAAACTAGAAATTATAAAATGTTACTGAAAGGGAACTTAGCACATAGAGGAGCATTTAGAATGAGTTGAATTCAAGTTAGAATCCTATAATTTTACAATTGGAAAGAAATTTAAAAGACTATTCTAGCCTCCCAGGAATTATCTCTACAATATCTTCAACAAAGATCCCTCTCTTTCTGCTGGGATATTTACGGTAGAATGGGGAAGGGAATAATTATTTATATAGTACCTACTCTAGTTATATAGGAACTGTGCTAAGCACTTTACAAATACTATCTCATTTGATCCTCACAATAACCCTACAAGGAAGGTGCTATTATTATTCCCATTTTAGAGGTTAGTAAACTGAGGCAAACAGAGTTTAAGTGATTTCCCTGGGGTCATACAGCTAATAAGTGTCTGCAGCTGAATTTGAACTCTGGTCTTCCTGATTCCAAGTCAGCTTCCTATCCACTGCACCACCAGCTGCTTCCTAGTGATGGAGAGTTTGCTATTAAGGCATTTTATCCTATTTTTTCAAATTGTTAGAAAGTTTTTGGTGACAGTAACAGAATTTGACTTCCTTATAATTTTCATTCATTGACCCTAGTTCTCTCCTCTGGAGATAAACAGAACAAATCTAATCTCTTTTCCTAATGATAGCCCATTAGAAACCTATTGTTTCCTCTTTAATTCTCTTTCCCATGCTAGACCTCCTCATTAACTCTAATCATTCCTCCTTGTATGATCTGGTTTTAAGCCTCCTTCTCATCTTGATCATATTCTTCTAGCCATGCTGTAGTTGAAACCACTATGCTTCATTTAGAGTAGCCTAACATTTAGTTAATATTTTTAGCAGTCATGTCATATCGTTGTTCAGTTGTTTTAGTCATGTCCCTCTCTTTGTGCCCCCATTTGGGTTTGCCTGGTAAAAATCCTGAATTGGTTTACCATTTCCTTCTCCAGCTCATTTGACAGATGAGAAGACTGAGGCAAATAGGGTTAAGTGACTTGCCCAGAGTCACACAGATAATAAGTGTCTGAGGCGAGATTTGAACTTAGGAAGAGGAGTCTTCCTGACTCCAGGCCTGGCATTCTATCCACTGTGCCATCTATCTGCCCAGTTACATCATAGTACTGGCTTATGCTGAGCTTTCTGATCCACTAACGTTACTTTTTTTCAAATTAACTATATGTCTAGCCATATCTCTCTTATCCTCTGTAACTGTACTGTATCTTTCGGACCCTGATTCTGCTATCCCATGTGTTAGCTGTCCCTCCTGCCTGGTATGTGTATGCCATCTCAAAGTTCATCTGAGTAATTGGTAAAGCCCTGCACTACTCCACTAGAGTATCAGTTCCATATTGACACCTATTCATTGATTACAAAAGGTCACAACTGGTTGCAACACTATTGTACTAGGAAGCTGACCACATTTTCCATCTGGGTCACAAGGGTAGCGTGAAAAATTTTGCCAAATGATTTCCTGAAATCTAGATGCCTTTTGTCTTATACCTTAATCCCTCTAATTATTTGTATTACTAAGTATGATTTGTTGAAACAGTGCCCAACCTTAGGCAAAGATGGTGCAGAGAAGAATCTTTCTCAGGCTGCAAATGGAGTATCTTAATCTCAAATTTCATTGCCCAGAGATGATGTCCCTTTAGGGTTGAGTCTCACAATGTATGATTTGGTAATTATAAAGCTGAGGACTCTAAATCTCACACCACAGCAACAAGGGCTAAATTTAACTGGAATGACTATGTTGGTTTAAAGTGCTTTCTGAAATTTCAGCTTTTCTGAGTTGTTTTATGGCCACTGTGAGAGCACAAAGATTAAATAAATTCACTTTATATCCCTGCCTCAGGAATTTTATATGCTAAAGTTTTCCTCAGCCCACATAAAAACCATAGAATCATAGATTTATAGAGTTGGACAGGGCTTTAAGACATGAAAGATTAGGACACAGACCAGAGCATTATGGAGCTGGATAGGATTTTAGAATAAAATATTAGAACTGGCATGTTAAAACATAAAATATAGAATGTGAGAGCTAGAAGTGACCTCAGAATATAGAATGTTAGAACATAGAACATGGAAAGTTAAAGCTGGAAGGGACCAGAGAATGTAGAATGTTAGAAGCTGAATGTAAAAACATGAAATTCAGAATGTTAGATTTGGAAGGGGCCTCATGAAATAGAACATTAGAACGTAGAACATGGAATGTTAAAGCTGGAAGGAGCTTTAGAAGATAAGATGTTAGAGCCAGAAGGGACCTTTGAATACAGAATGTTAGAACACAGGACACAGAATTTTAGAGATAGAGGACCTTAGAAATCAACTAGTAATCGTTCAACCTTCTCATTTTATGGGTGAGAAAACTGAAGCTTTCAGATATGAATTGGCTTGACTTGGTAACAACTTGTGCCAGAGTTGAGATACAAATTCAGGTCTCCAGATTCTCAATTCAATACTTTTTTTTTCTAATATACTACACTGCTTTCCATGTTGTATTCATGGCCTTCTCTTGGACAATTTATAATAAGCACAGTAAATAACTAGACATATCCTTAAGAAAAACAGTACTTTAAATGTACTCCTATTCATAAGAAAATAAATTCTTCATGAAAGCTGACCCGTGAAAGCCAAAGCTGGAGTCACCAGGGGACATCTTGTGGGAGGATGTGGTTTCCCTCTTTGATAATGACCTTGAAACATTGGCAATGTGCTCAAAATATTGGTAGTTTCCCTTAATAACTTAATGCTATTTTTGTGTCCTTCATGGAGTTGTTAAAATAGATATGATTTTCCAATGAAAATTCTGACTGTCTAATGCTTTTCCTCCTGCCTCAGTTCATCTACTTTATGACCCCCTTCACAGTGAACATTACCCAGAATCATTTAAAATATTACCCTCATGCTGCAGGAGAGACAACACGGTGTGTAGTAGAAACAATAACAATAATAACACAGTTATGAAACACTTTAACATTTTGCAAAGCACCTTTCTTCCAACAACTTTGTGAGTTAGGAAGGAAGAGAATATTGGTTCGGAAATCTAAAGACCTGGGCTCTGGTCTTGGTTCCATAACTTACTAATTCTATGACTTTAAGTCAGTCACTTTACTAATTTGAAACTTCAGTTTCCTCATCTGCAAAAACAGAGAAAATATCCCTGTGAGATAAGTAGAGGTGTTATAATTGAAATATTGTTGTAAGAACTTGAAATCTCTGATATATTCAGTCTATGGAGAATTTAAAGTATTTATATGTGTGATGTCTGTGTTGCATATTAACAATTTATGTTAAAAACCTGACACTTTGTAAACTATTTAGTCAGTATCTTCTTATAGAGGTCTGGCTCCAGAGTCAGGAAAAAAAAATCCTGAACTTGTGTTCAGTCCTCGCATCGGACACGTGCTAGCTGTGTGATCATGGGTAACTCACCAAAACTTTACATTTAAGAGGAGTTGCCAGTGCTGGTGGAGGGAGTTTCACACTGGGAGTTACCTACATTAATAAAATCCCAGATCCAGATGAATCTGCCCCTGCTACATTCCCTATCTCACCCCACTTCTCCTCCACTCCGCTGCCATAAACCCTCTCACTTTTTTTGCCTTTTAAGTTACTTATTGGTTTGGCCTTAGAATACTTGGTTTCCTACATAGCCCAGCTCACACATCATCTTGTACATGAAAAATGTTCCTGATCTCCCCAGCAATTGATTCCCTCCTTCTCAAAATTCCTTTGTCTCAGGGGCAGCTAGGTGGCACAGTGGATAGAGCACTGGTCCTGGAGTCAAGAGGACCTGAGTTCAAATTTGGCCTCAGACTCTTACTAGGTGTGTTACCCTGGGCATGTCACTTAACCCTGATTGCCTCCAAAAAATTTCTTTGTATCTATTGTGTATATAACTGCATATGCACATATTGTCTTGCTCGAAAGAATATGAGCTGCTTCAGAGCAGGGCCTGTCTTGCTTTTTTGTCTTTGTAACCCTAGCACTAACATTTTGTGCATAGTAGGTGCTTATAAGTGTTTATGATTGACTGAGTTGGTTGTCCAAGCAGCCTGGTGAATGTCTTTTCTGTGTATCCACGGTCAATTTGGTGATGGATGGGTTCTTTGTCCTATGTGCTCGAGCCAACATGAGGTAGTGTACAGAATAGACCACCTGGAATCAGGTCACTTGGGTTTGAATCCTGTCTCAGACTACTTAACTAGCTGTAGAAGGGGGATAGTAATAAAATTTTCATTACAAGGTTGTTGTGAATATCAAAGAAGGTATTTAAAGGGCTTTGCAAAATGTAAAGAGCTCTAGATGGTTCAGCCATCCAAGACTAGGTCATTTCTCAGATTTATAGGGCTACTGTCAGGCAGAGAAATTGTATTAGTTTGTTAGCAACACTCCAAATTTTAAAACACCAAGCCCACATTCTTCATCATGGCTTAACTGCACTACTCAGGGTTTAATTGACTCTTCTTCCTGATCAGCAAACGAACAACTAATAAAATGCTATGGCAGGTTGAACTTCACTCAATATATGAGGACAGTTTTTCTTGATAGACAGGTAGAAAGGTCTTTGTTGAGGACTTACAAGCTTATGGACTTCTAGGAAAATGTCAGGCTCACTATAGATAGAGGTAAACTCACCATGAAGCTGAACATATCCTTTTCTAGCCTAAAGCTTTTCCTTCCTTCAAAAATCTACATCTGTTAATGGTATTAGCATCCTCCCAGGCATCTGGGCTTATAATCTTGGATCATCTGTAATTCTGTTTTTTGTCCCTCACTCTACAATCCAATCAGTTAACACATCTACAAATATTAGCCCTCTTCGACATCATAGGGCAGCTAGGTGGTGCAGGAGATAGAGTGCCGGTGTGTGACGTTGGACATGTCACTTAATTTTGTTTGCCTCAGCTTCTTCATCTGTTAAATGAGCTGGAGAAGTAAATGGCAGACTACTCCAGTATCGTCGCTAAGACAAAAGGGGCAGCTGGGTGGTGCAGTGGATAGAGCACCAGCCCTAGAGTCAGGGGGACCTGAATTCAAATTTGTCCTCAGAGACTTACTAGCTGTGTGATCCTGGGCAAGTCACCTAAGTCAATTTTTTCCCACCCCCCCAATAAGAAAGAAAACTTCAAATGGGGTCATGAAGAGTTGGACAATAACTCAACATCATAGCCTTTCATACGCTTGAAGACAGCTGCCATGATTCTGCTATTTCTTTTCTTTTTAAGACTAAAAAAATTCCAATTTCCTTCAATCAATATTCATGTTAAATGGTTTCAAGGCCTCATGCCATCTGGACCTCCTTCCTATCAGTGTTCTCCAGCTTATCAATGTCTTTCCTAAAACGTGGTACCCAGAACTGAAAAAAGTGTTTCATATATAGTCTGACTAGGGCAGAGAATAAGGGCCCTATTACCTCCCTCATTATGAACACTAGGCTTCTAAATACAGCCGACGATCAAATTATTATACGAATACCAGGAGATATTTCATTAGAAACTTTTCTGAAGTCTAGTTAAAAGTATATGGAAAGCAATTCCCTGACCTACAGATTTAATAACCCTACCAGAAAATGGAAATGAGGTTGGCATGGTATGATCTGTTCTTGATGAAATGATCCTCATTCTTTGTGATTATTCCTCCTTTTTCTAAGTGTTGCTAATCATCCCTTTCATAATGCCATTTGGCATTTTGCTAGACATCAAAGCTTGCAGACTTTACCCTTCTCTGAAAATTAGGATAGTATTAGCTTTTCTCCAGTACTGTGATACCTCTCCAATTCACCATGATCTTTCAAAGATCACTGGCAGTACCTTAGCAGTAAAAGAGGTATGCAAATTACCTGGGACAAAGTAAAATAACTAATATAATAATACACTTTAAAATTTTTACATCTTGAAAAAATGTAACATGCAAAATGCCCTCTTTTCATTGCAATCACTTGTTTTATACAATTTTGCATCAAGTTCAAAAGATTTTCACTCGTATTCCATAATTCTTCATCATGCAACAACACTTTTATTCCACTGAACATTGAGCTTCTCTTTGACTTAAGGGCCCATTTTCCCACGTCTGTTGTTGTTCAGTCTTTTCAGATGTGTCCGACTCTTTGTCATCCTATATGGGGTTTTCTTGGCAAAGATAATGGAGTGGTTTACCATTTCCTTCTCCAACTCATTTTATAGATGAGGAAACTGGGGCAAACAGGGTTAAGTGACTTGCCCAGGTTCATACAGTTAGTAAGTGTCTGAGGCCAGATTTGAGCTTAGGAAGATGAATTTAAAACCACAAAATTAAAAATACAACTAAAGAGAAAAACAAAATGTGTGTGCCGCATGAAATCCAGCACTCATCTGACAGAGAACCAACTAAAGTTGGGGAAAGAACCTCGATTTGATTTCCTGTGGCTAAGGCTGGATGTTGTGAGTTAGCCTAGTGTCAGTAGAAGCACATGAGTATGCCCATTGCTGTCACAGAACGAAATCATATCAAAATCGTTGCTTGTCCCAAGTCATTTATACACCACTCAATACCTGCTGGCTCCTTTTGAGATTCTGAGATGTGGCTCATCTGGACGTGGCGACTGCACATGAGCAAGGTGCTTGGTGCTATCTTCTCGTCCCCTTCTTTATTCTGTGTTTTCACTCTTTTAGCAATTTTTGTCCTATTCTTTTCAAACTAAAGATCTGACTTTTCTCTCCATTGTTCTCTATTATTTTCCAGCTGATCCAAGCAGCAGACTTATCCCTTCTTGGACATTCCCCTTTTCCATGGTATAGCTAAAAATCCATCTCCTGCAGTGAATTCTGGCTTCTAATTCAAGAAACAGAAGCATCTAATACATACGAAACACCATGCTAGGCTCTAGGGATGGGAAGATAAATAAAATGCAGTCCATGTTCTCTTGGGGCTCTGCCTTTCCCATTGGTAGTGGAGGGCATGGGGGTGTGGATGTGCAGTGAATGGTGGGATGCAGGAATGGTGGGAATATGGGAACAAATTCACTTTGCTCTCATTTCTATAAATACTGAGATTATAGAGTTATAAGAACATAGCCCAGGAGAAGAAATCTGGCCCCTTCCTTCCAAGTCCTCTATGGAATCAATCTTCTGTGATAATGCATGGGCAAAAGCTAGAAGACAGTTACTTTTGTAGGGAGACATCTCATTAACTCTCCTATGCAGGGTAGGCCTCCCTTCTCCTTCAGGCTCATTCCTGGGTAATTTTAGAAGCATTTGAAGTTAGGATAAAGTAAACTGTTTACCCCTGGCTTTATTTACATAGATATTTCTGGCAAAAACAGTGGGTTTTGGTTATGTGGCAGTTTTAAATTGGCTTGTAGTAGCGTGAATGTATATTTTCTATCTGGGAGCCAACCCCACTGTTGATATAGTGCTTATCTGTTTTTTCCAGTGAATGTTTCCAGTCTGACAGCTGGTGAACTTTACTAAATTGTTTAGCTTTAAGAACAATAAGGTCTAGCTTAAGGATGGCCAACACAATCACAGAAGGAGAAAAACTGAGTGGCATCTAGTCCAACCAGGAGGTGATAAATCAGTTAATGAATCAACCAGCATTTATTAAGTACCTACCACAGGAGTTGGATTTTTAGCTATAACATGGAAGAGAGGAATGTCCAAGAAGGGATAAGTCTGCTGCTTAGGTCAGCTGGAAAGTAATAATGAACAATGGAGAGAGAAGTCAGATCTTTAGTTTGAAAAGAATAGGACGAAAATGGCTAAAAGAGTGAAAACACAGAATAAAGAAGGAGATGAGAAGATAGCACCAAGCACCTTGCTCAAGTTCAGTCGCCATGTCCAGATGAGCCACAACTCAGATACTGTGTGCTGGGCCAAGATTCCCTTCTTGGCCACCTTCAACAAGTGACCACCCAACCTGTCCTTGAGTACTTCCAGTGAGGAAAAAATTACTTCACCCTGAGACTACCCATTCCACTTTTAGATAGCTGTAATTATTTTCATTTTATCAAGTCAAAATCTGGCTCTGTACAACTTTTCTCCATTGTTCTACCCTTTGAGACCAAGCGGAATAAGACTATTTTTTTCTTCCACATGATGGACTTTCAAATGCTTGAAGATATATAGGATGTAGTAGATAGAGGGCTAGGCCTAGATCCAGGAAGATCTGAGTTCAAATCCAGCCCCAGACATTTCCTAGCTATACCCCAGACAAGTCACTTAACTTCTATCTGTCTCAGTTTCCTCAACTTTAAAATGGGGCGTAATAAATGCTTATTCCCCTATTGTGCTATAAGAAATGATGAGCAAGTGGACTTCAGAAAAACCTGGAAAGACTTGTATGAACTGATGCTGAGTGAAGTGAGCAGAACCAGGAGAATATTGTACACAGTAACAGCCATGTTGTGCAATGACTTACTTCAATAGACTTAGCTCTTCTCAGCAATGCAAGGATTTAAGACATCTCCAAAAGTCTCTTAATGGAAAATGCTATCCACATCCTGAGGAAGAACTGTGGAGTTGGAATGCAGATTGAAGCATACTATTTGCTCTTTTTTTTTCCTCTTCTGTTTTGTTTTGTTTCTTCTTTCTTATGGTTCCTCCTATTGGTTCTAATTCTTCTTTACAACATGACTAATGTGAAAATATGTTTAATAGGAATGCATATATAGAGCCTATATCAGATTGCACACCATCTTGGAGAGGGAGATGGGGAGGGAGGTGGATAAAATTTGAAACTCAAAAGCTTATGGTAGTGAATGTTGACAACTAAAAATAAATTAATAAAAAAACACTTATTCCCTTCTTCCTTCCCTTTTAACATCCTGTGTTGTAAGGTCCTTTCTCAGTGTTACAATATATATTTTAAAATTCTGTGGCTATATGTATATAGCTAACCAAAATATACTCAGACTTTTATTCTTCCCGTAGTGGCTAAAACTACATGGGAACCTCTGTCCTACCAAGAGATCCAACAGGTGTATGTCTGCATGGCTGACTTCACATGTGTCTAAGGGCAGGCATATACATCTTGGTCTACTCTGGTGGAAGGGAGGGGATAGTTATGGTAACTGTGATAGGTTTAAAGTTCTCCTAAACTGTGTTAAGTGTCTTTCCTTCTGTAACAGATGGAAACAGAGTGAGTCTTTCACATCATTGTCTCTTACAGAAAATGCCTTTGTGGGAAATGACCTTGTTGGACGCTTTGTAAAGCTGATCCAGAGTGGTGGTTTCCAGCTTCATTTAGATTCCAAGACATTCCCAGCAGACACTACTATACAATTCCTCCAAGGGGATTACTTTGACATATCTCCAAGTGTGCAGTTTGGATGCAAGAAAGGATTCCAAAAGAACTCACCACCAGCCAAAACAGTTCTGTATTCACCTGGATGTGGTAGGTTGATTCTCTCCTCTTATCTAGGGACCAGGGAGTCACAGATAGCAACTCCCAATAATGATATTTCCTTTTTTTTTCCAGCTCTCTTTATTTTTCTCTCTCCCTTTATCTTCCTTTCTCCCCTACCCCATATTTCTATTTGTCTCCCTCTCTTTCCTATCTTCTCCCTTTTCAGTTCCTTCCTCTCCTTCCCTCTTGCTGTCTCTTTCCTTCTCCATCTCGTCCTCCCTATCGTCATGTTGTTTGAATTAAACAAAGCTATCCTAAAGACAAAATGACATAACTCTAGAACCAAGATCAACCTTAAAGATGGACAGAAAGGTTGCTGCTTATATGATATAATTTTGTAGATCATAGATTCTGGAAGGGACCTTGGAGATCATTCATTCTGACCCATGCAGAAGAATAATGAATGCATGAATGAAAAAGCATTGAAGTGCTTACTATGTGACAGATACTGTACTAAGCACTGGAGATACAAGTAAAAAAAATCAATACAGTCCCTGCTCACAAGGAACTTATATTCTATTAGAAGAAGACAATATATCTAGGTGAAGGAGGAGTGTTTTGGTCTAAGAAGTCATGGGGATAATGAATGAAGTTATAGAACAATTGACTGGCACACCCATTCCAGGAATAGTGTTGGTTTGATTATAGTTTCTAGAGCTAGATGTGGAAGAGGATGATTGGGTTGTCTAATAGGAATGTCATTTAGATATGGTGAAGTTTCACCAATCAGAAGCCCAGGGACCCAGAGACACTTAGTAGGATCTAGAGCACAAGACCATGGCAATGAAAATGTCCTGGGAACACCAGTGGGTAATATGTCAGGATGATGGATACATCTGACCTGGTCACAGTCACTGGGAGGACAAGGGCACAGCCAGAGCTCAGAGGAGATCCCTGGGTTAGTTCCAAGGTAGGAGGAGGAAGGCTCACCATACTCCTTTGAGGGACTACTCTTCAGACTTAGAGCATTAATACATTAACTCTCACCACTCCATGCATCATAGTAACTTGGGATGCTGAGGAGGACTAGGTATTTTGTAGGGAGGAATGGTGTTTAACTCAGGAGATCTGATTAGATTCCTTCCTATAAGGTCATAGGTAAGGAGCTATTACCCATCAAAGTTGCATGGGTCATAGATTAATGGACCTGGAAGGGACCTCAGAGACCATCTGGTCCAACCCCATCATTTTACACATGAGGAAACTGAGGCACAGAGAATTTAAGTGACTTACCCAGGGTGGCACAAGTATTAATTATCAGAGGTGAGCTTTCAGCTTACATCCTCTAACTACAAAGTTAGTGCTTATATTCACTGTTTCATGGGAGATGGAAGTTTCTATCCATGAAAGCTTTCTGGCAGATTCCAGAAAAATAAAGGGTAGTCATAAAAGCAGAAGCAGTATGTTGTAAGAAAGACCAGGCCAGAAAATACAGAGTTTTGTTTGTTTGTTTTTTCCCATGAATACTCTGTGTTATCCCAAGCAATGCCCTTAGCCTCTCCGTGCATCTCAGTTTCTTCCCTTGTAAAGCAGGATTAATAATATTCTCACTGTCTACCTCAGAGTGACATTTTGAAGACCGAATTGGGCAAACCTTAAAGTGCCATAGACATGGGAGTGGGTGACATTATTGTTGATATGGGTGATGTGCTTGGTTTTTTGAGTCACTCAGCAGTTTGGTTAGATCAACATGTGGAAGGAGTCTCACTGACCCCATCTGGGAAGTTTTAGGCACAGTCTTTTGTGGCTTTGGGGGAAAATGAATTTTAATTAAAATTCAATGAGATTGTTGGCTTCTCTCACTTCATAAGTAGCTTTGGAAACCATTTTCCCCAGACTGGAGCTGAAAATTTTTTCCCAGGGAGGCTTAAGATGAAATCTTGATTTATCAGCCCTCTCTGTATCCATACGGCTCACTGAATATGCAGGGGAACAAAACATTTTATTAGGAATGGAGAAATACAGGACTTTTTGATCCCTCCTCAAAAAGGGTTCTTAGCCTTTTTTTGGGTCTCATGGACCCTTTTGGCAGTCTGGTGAAACCTATAGACCCCTTCTCACAATAATATTTTTAAACACATTAAAAAACCCGCAGAATTACAAAGAAACCCAAAGATTCATGAAGATAAAGACGTACTTTTTCCCATCTGAGTTTATAAGCCACCTGAACTCTATCCATGAATTCCAGGTTAGTAATTCTTGCTCTAAAGTATTGTTACCCAGTCTCAGGCCTAGTTTCCTGTCAATTCCTAAAATCTCCTTGAAATTTCAAATTCCATATCAGAGTGAAACTGCCATTGAAGTTCATTATGTATGAGAATAAATTCACCACAGACTCTTAGAGTTGGAGGGGATCTTAGTATTTCCTTGAACTGGAGCTGGAATTCAGAAGACCTGAGTTCAAATCTCAGCACTGCTATTTACCACCTATGAGCAAGTCTTTCCTCTGGGTCTCAGTTTTTGTCTCATGTGTAAAATCCAATTCAATTCAACCAACACTTACTCGATGGCCACTATGTGCAAGCGCCTTTGGGGGGGCTTTTACAGAGGCCTTCTCATACTTCAGATGTGGCTGTTCTTGGCCAGGCTGTCCCAACTGCATTCCCTAGCAGTGGCCTCCCCAGCAGACTCCAAGTTCTCCTTTCTGCCACCATTTTTGCCCTGGCACCAGATGTTTTAGGAGTATCTCTGGCTGCTAGAATTCAAATACATAGCTCTAGGCTGGACCTGACCACTGCTGCTTATTCTAGTCCTGTGCGTGAGCTTTGAAGTAACATGAGCCAGGACCTCAGATGAACAGACATCCCCCCACCCCTTACCCCCTCACCATAGTGATAACCTAAAGGGACAAAGACCCAGCCCTGAATATAGCACACACCACAGGTGCATTGCTTTTGCCCGGTCTCTACTCTATGAACTTTCACTGTTTACTTTATTAAATCTGTTATAAGGATTCAATCCAAGATGTCAGTCCCTTTCCTCTCTCCCTTAAATACTCTCATTGTAATTAGTTGTAATCGTTCAGAGATTTCCTGCAGCTCAGGCACTAAGAGAAGGCCCAGGGCAATTTCCTCTATATAGCACAAGATGTCACTTGTGCTTCCATCTCTCTCCATGCCCTGTAACACCATATTCTCCCTTCAGTACTTACTGACAATGCCTAGGCCTAGAAAGGGGACCACAGTGGGAACTGAATGAAGGTATAGGGTCTTTAGAGGGTGAAAATTCATATTAAAAGGGGAGAGAGGTACAGAGAAGTAGGAATAGGTGATCCCAAAGATCAACTTTGCCTCCTCTTCCATTTTATTTAATAACAAAAATAGCTGACATTTATAAAGGATCATAGATATGGGCCCAAGATAGGCCTTATTTCTTATTCCCATTTCCCCCATCTGTAGCTTTCTCACTAATTGAGAATTAATAAATCCATGCCCAAGGACACCAGTGGTGAAGAATACCCCAGAATTATACAATAGTGGAGTTAGAAAGACAAAAGATGGCAGCCTTAACCTTTCATCAGTGCCTAGAGAGAGGCTGGTGAAATCTGGTCCTTTCTATTTTGTGTGGAAGCCTATTTGACGTGTGTGTGTGTGTGTGTGTGTGTGTGTGTGTGTGTGTGTGTGTGTGTGTGTGTAGGGACAGGCGGGGAGTGTTCCCAACATAAAATTCACATCTGGAATACAGATGCGAAAAAACAAGCAAATGCATCGTCCTGTGGAAAAGTGTCATCATCTCAGTCTCATCTGCTGGGGTGATCACTGGGGAGGCTGCTCTGGGGAGGAGGGGCAGCCAGTTAGCCCCTTATGATTACCCTGGGGAACAGGAGGATCAGCTGGGATTGTAGGTTGCGGTTGAGACTGGAATGCCTGGCAGGAGAAGCTGGATAAAACAGGGGAAATGGAGTCTTTGTTTACAACAGCATTGTTAATGCCTGTGTTTACTTGCTTGTCTCTGGTCCAGCCATTGGCCGCTCCCTTCGGAATTACCTGCATGCAATGAGATTACCAGGCTAGTCCATTAAAACCAGAGCCCTAGAGGAACTGTTTCTGATTTACCAAAGCTTGTTTTCTGCCCTCCCCCTCCTTTGTTATTTGTGCTTTTAGCAGAGTTGTTTTCCTATTGCTTTTGTTCTGAGTTAGCATTCTGGGGTCCCTGATGTAGACTGCAGAAGCACTCTAGAATTCATAGAATACTTTCCTCACAAAGATAGTGTGATCTGAGTCTCCAGCAGTGTTTTCATTCTCATTGTGCAAGAATACACAAATGCAAGAATACACAAACAGAGAAGCTCCTTTGTCCAGCACAGGTTGCAAGTTATCTTTTAGCATCAGAAGAGTACAATCATAACTTTAGAGCTGGAAGGGACCTTAGAAACCAGTGAGGAAACTGAGGCCCAGAGAAATAAAGTGATTTGTTCAGGATCACACAGCATTTGAGCACAGGTCTTCCTGACTTCAAGTTCAGCGTCCTGTTCTCCACAGAAAAAATAAATAGGGCTACTCCTTCAAGCCCAAATTTGTGACTTAGTAGTTAAGCTCATGAGCAGTGCTTTTTGATTTTAGTCTACACTAGTGTTTTCACCGGTATAGGGAACTCTCGATGAGGAAAATCCCTCTCCCAATGCAAACTGGCTTTGTAATCTGCTTTGTAACTTGTGGTCTGAGAGTGGCTAGGGACATTAAAAGGGTCAGTGACTTGCTCAGGTTCCTACCACTGCTATATGTCAGAACCCACACCTTCCTGATTCCAAAGCTAACAATCTAACACTCCATCTCACTGTTGTCTATGGGAAATGCCACCTTAAGTGATAAGAACACAGGAAAAATTTGTGCTTACTCTATCTTGAGGAACTTGACTCCACTAACTTGGTTCATAACCTGTCTATGACATGGCAGCTAAAATCCTAGGAGGTTGCCGGAGCATATAAATTGGCAGAGGAAGGATCTGAACCATGACTCCAACTCCAGAACTCTCTCCACCAGGCCATA